CATGGGGTCCTTGAGTCCATATGTGAGCTTGGTTTGCCATTGGTTAGGTCAAACAGTCAAAAATTGCCTTTGTGCAGTCAAAACCCTAAAAATGACCATTTTGCCCTTTTGGTGATCTGATCAAATTTCTTGTGGAATTGTGATCCAAACTTGATCAAATGATCCATGTGAGTTCATGATGTTGATGTGGGCCAATTTTCATGAGGTTTGACTTTCAATTGGCCACAGTTGACTTTTTTCCAATACAACTGATTTCTAGGTCAACTATCCAATTGACTGGGCAAAACTTGGAATCAAGACTTGAAACTTGATATGGATAAACTTGGGAGTCCAATATGAAGCAAGAAAGTCATCTTAGGCATTTTTGGTCAAAACATCTATGTGCAAACATAAACCCTAATTTGAGTCAACAATGCAAGGAGAAGTCTTGAGCAGATGAAACCCTAATTGGATCTTGATCTCCAAGGGCTTTGTGATGAGAAATCAATGAGAAATGGGAGGGTAAATTTTGGGGTACAACAGTTAGCAAAAACGAAATTAAATATAACCATCAGTTTGCAAACATCGCAAGGATTAATAATATGTAAATTGTTCGTGCTAAAGATGCCAAAATTAATGGATTCGAAATCAAGAAAAGTGAGAAACCGTGTGGTACTTACAGTGTGTTTCAGGGCACGAGAATGCTTGCTAACGGTTGCAATATGGTCCAGGGATATCCAGCAAGCGATTGAGATGGTTGGAATGGCTTGAGAAGGCCTGAAACCTGGAAATTGATTCAAAACTTTTGTTGAATTTTTGCAAGTTTGCTTTCTGTTTCTCACGCCTCTAATCCCCTTGTTTTTTATCTGAACATGTTCCTTATGTACCCTATAAGGAATTAGGTTACAAATTTGTTTCAAATCTTTTCCAATTAAGATTATTGATTCATGATTTGATCATGGTACAAAATCTTTCCAAATCAAGCCAAAATGCAATCTTTTGTGTCCATGTGAACCTTGCACGATTTGATTCCATCTTCAGCTGTATACTAGACCTAAACATGCACAAAATCTCAAGCTTTGATTAGTTTTTGATATTTTCATGATTTTATTTTAATTTTATTTGATTTAATTGAAATAAAATCAAAATAAAATAATGACAAATGGAATGGATCATGGGTCGTGGGTCACATTACAAACTCAGTGCAAGCATAAAAAGTTGGGCCCATTTGACAAAATATACAATTTTGGGCACTTTTGGCACTTTTGCAAAAAGGGTCAACTTTGCCAATGCATAACTCCCTCAATTTTGACCCTAGAGAAGTGTTCTTGGACTTTTTAGAAAGCTTAAGATGTCCTCTAAGCAAAAATTTTAATCTAATCTCAATTGGGTCTTCCATGTTCATGTATGAAGCTTTGACCCAAAAGGTGTTTTTGTTGACTTTTCAAAAAGACCTATAATGTCCAAATTCATATCTTCTTGTGAATGCATATTTTGAACTTGGGAGCTGAAGATGAATTGTAGGGAATTACATCCTATTCAAAATGAGATTTGGATGGGTCATTTCTCATAAAGTATGAGAAAGTTATGCTTGGTCAAAGTTGAGTTGACTTTTCCTACAAAACCCTAATTTATCAACTTTTGAGTCTTGATGAATTATGAGCAATCCTTGATGAATCATGATTAAACCTTGATCAAATGATTAAATATACTTCAAAATGAGGATGTTGACCAAAAATATTGAAGTTTGACTGTATGTGGGCCACAGTTGACTTTTGCCCCAACATAGTCGATTTTTAGGCCTTTGAGCAATTGACTGAGCAAACTTCCTCTGCAAGGCTTGAAACTTGACATGGATGATCTTGAGAACATATTAGGACAATGTTTAGCATTTTGGACCCTTTGGATCCAAACATCTTGATGCAAATTGAAACCTTAATTTGAGGTAGACTGTCTTAGGAGAGAGTTTGTCTGGTCAACCCTTGAATTTCCTTGAGCAATTTGAAGACCTCACTTGAAATGTATTGAGAAATATGGGAGGGCAAATTTTGGGGTACAACATCCGTGATAATATTACAACTATATGTTTGACAAAGAATTCTATTCAACATTCTAGAACCAAACACATAAATAAAACCTTATTTTATTAAAGATTATGTTTAGAAAGGTGTAATAGATATACAATTCATTAATGAGATGACATATTTACTAAGGCTCTTATTGTTAAAAGATTTTATTTTATTAAAAAGAATCCGAACATGCATTTTGTAAAAGAATAAGTGTTTGCTTCTGAATGGAGGATTAGAGTATGATAATAATAAGAAGTTACTATGTTCAGAGGTTCTGAGTGAGCTTATAATGAATAGCAACCTCTGATGCCCATAATCTGATTAGTTGTATCTAATAGCATTTAAGTGGAAAACCTTAATATTTGTCCACTTAATTTCCATATATATGATAGTTTTTTCTGACACGTGTATTAAGTTGTTGTTTAATTTATGGTTCTAGTTTGTCTTGGCTCTGAACCAGTTAGTCCTCTGTAGTGAGAAGGTTCTCGAGTCAGAAGGTCTAAGTTAGAATTCCTATGGGAATTTTCTGTCTACTGGATTCTGTGCTATATTAATGGGTTTATCCTTTGGGAATTATTTTCTTGGATAAAATTAAATGTTGTTCTGTAGCCCCTCTTGGTCATCATTGCTAAATATTTTGTGTTAAAAACTTAAATGGTTGAAATGGTTGAAAACTTCTCTATCAAACTCTGGTGACTCACTCAAAGGATGATAGTGGCAAGAGATTCATAAACAAAAGCATTGCGAAAAAGATAAATTATTATTATTGATAAAAAATGCAGTACAAATTCAGAATAATTCTCAAGATATCAGATGGAATATAAAAGATTGCAACCTTCAGTACTGGTCATTATGCCAACCACCTGATATGAGGAAGAGCATATAATCCTCATCACCATCTGAGTCAAACTCAAATTCATCAGTTAAATCTTTCTTCTTCTTGAGATCTCTGACACTGAAGTTCTTCCTACCCTTGATGCTCTAGTGGATGTGCTTGCACCTATGAATGATTTGATTTTATCATCTTTATGAGAGAAGCCTCTCTTGGAAGGAGTGGTGCAAATAGTCTTGTTGATTGCCTTGGAGAAACCATTCTTAGAATTCTCTAAAGACTTGTTCATTGTGTCTGATTGTAAAGAGCTTGATGGAGGAAAAAGGATTGTGATTTTGCTTACAACTAAACTCTGCTTATATAGAAATTTTGGGATAAAGCAAAATCAATGTTGGTTGTTATGCACATATATACTTTGAAGAGAGAAATATTCTTGGTCTTCAAGCACATCTCTCAAGCTCTGACTGCTTTGTTTATCTCATATGCTATGTTGTCAGCCCTAGCCTTGACCATCTCGAGAACTGATGAGTTGTTTGCATCCTTTCTAGCCATCTTTCAACTTTTTTTTTTGTTAATTAAAGGAGAGAAAATAACATAATTTTAACTTATTTTTATCCAGATTTAATTAAATCTCACACATTTAACTATGTGGATTTGTTTTTATTCAAAATCTTTTCTCATTTCCCCTTTTTTTTATGACAAAAGAGGGAGTAAGATGATAAGGAATTCAAAATTTTATACTATTCAAAAGATTAAATTAAAATCCATTCATTCTTGAATTATTTGATTTTGATAGAATACTAAAATGATTCATTGTTAAATTTTTGGATCATTTTCATCAATATTAAAACTTTTGGGTCAAATTAAAAATATAAAAAATAGAGACCAATTTGCAATTTTGAAAATTTGAAGGGGGTAATTTGTAAAATTTGAAAATCATTAGGGAGTTATTTATATTTTTTGAAAATTTTAAGGGTGAATTTAAAATTTGCAAGGACCATTTTGTAAAATTTAAAAAATTAAAGTTAACAATAAACAATTTAACATTCACCTTATATAGATTGAATGAACAATTTTAAGTTATATACTTGTGGGTGTCATTTAAAATTTCTTAAACTTAACTTGAATAAAATGCTTCATAAATTTATGAAGTTTTAATAATTCTTTATATTTTATATCCAAATAATAGATTTTGATCAAGTTTTTTTAATTTTTCTTAAAAAATAACATGCTTTATCCAAAGACACTCTTGGATGAAGTAATTAGAAATTTTAAGAAATTCAAAACTCTAGGCAATTCAAATGATTTAATTGAAATTCATTAATTTTTTAAAAATTAACAACAAACAATTTAACATTTACATTAAATAGCGTGAATGGACAATTTCAAATTTTTTACTTTTTAATGTCATTTGAAATTCTTTAAATTTAACTTAATAAAATACTTTATAAAATTACATTTAACCGTTCTTCATATTCTTTTATTAAAATAATAGATTTTAGTGAAATCATTTTAAATTTTTTCTCATTAAAATATTCCATCCAAACACACTCTTAAAAGAATTTTTCACAAATTAATGAAATGCTTTTTATTAAAAAAAATAAAGGAGCTCATATTTAAAATCTATTATTTTTCAATTAAAATTGTTTTATTTATAAATTTAATTACTTAGGAGATATTCAATAAATTTATAATTAAGTCCCTAAATAAAAAATAATTAGTTTTGAATTTATAAATAATTTTTATAGTTAAATTAGTAAATTTAAAGTTATTTAAAAATTTGGACATAACTCTAAAGCATTTAAAAGTTCAAGATCTTATTAGAAATTACAAATAATTAAAAACATAACAATTAATAATTGGATTTTCTAAAATATAACATGTAACAATTTGTTTTATGATGAGTAGGATAAAAGAGTGACACACTTAGAATGCACCACGTAAAAACGACCAATGAAAAATGGACAAACCAGACATATGATGATTCAAAATACGACATCACTTATGAACTAAAACGACGTCGTTGTTAACACGAACAACAACCCCATTACAAATCTGGTTTATTTCATCGTTGAAAATTCACTCACACGTTTCATTTGAGAAAATCGCAACACACAACCATGGTTTCCTTCAACACCATTTGGATTTTCTCTCTCGCTCTTCTCCTCACCGCTTCTCCTTTCCTCCAAGGTTCGCTTCGCCGCATTCCAGATCTAGATCCGTTTCCATTCTTCATTCCATGCATGTCTCAATTGCTTTCATTTTGCATGCCTTTTGAGCTTTGATCTGGTTTATAATTTATAATTGTATCAAAATTTGGTTATATTTCACGTGGATGTTAATTCTGAAATATTTTTTTTTTTGGATGGAAACGTGATTGAGATTTTGGATCTTGCAAATAACTGATACGTGTTTGTATAGTTATGTGCATGATGATTATTGAATGTGGTTGTTGTTATTTCATAGTTGTTAGGTGTCAGTCAGAATCAGGTGAAGCTGTGGAGACTACTGAGAGTGATATTGGAATTGTTGGTGATGATGCTCAAGACTTTGATAGTGTTGGAACCTTTTCTGCTGCTCCGGGGATTGATACGATAAGTGTGTTTCCGAAAAATATTGCAAAATGTAAGGATTGTTTAGTTTAGTTTATGAAATGCGTTTTGATTTTGTTTTCTGTGTTGGATAATGGCTTGATTTTGTTTGTTTATGTGAATTTGATGCAGTGGTTACAGCTGGAGACGATACCGAGCTGCTAGTCGGTGTAAAAAATGATGGTAATTTAAGCAGATTGGATAAGTTTCTTAAAAATTTTCATGTCATTGTTTAGGATTCCTATTTCATTCCTTTGTATTACATTATTTTCTTACTGCTGTTTGAGGAGTGTGGGATCCAAGAGTAAAAATCAGTTGCTCTTTCCCTTGTAGTCTACCTGATATTGGTTTTTTGTTTTTGGGCTGAAAACAGGTGAGTCCAGCTTGAATGTTGTTGCGATCAAGGCCAGTATTCACCTTCCTGTTGATCATCGTCTGCTTGTTCAGAATCTTACTGCTCAGGTAGAAATTTGTTACTGAAAATCCCAAATGAAACTTGGCTATTTATTTGTGTAAATAATTATTCTTCTCATATTAGTTTAAATGGTTATTTATGCTTGTTACCTTTTAATCAATATTAAACTTCTAATGATCAAATTGATGAAAGCCATTTATACGAAAAGGGAATATTTCAAATCTTGCTAAAAAGAGTGTGTATAAAGTCTAGAATTTGGAGTATTTTTTATTCTTTTGATAGACTAGGTTTGGAATCACATTTTCTGATTCAGTTGATGACATTTGACACTTGGTATAAAATATAAATGCAAGTTTTTTTTTTTATTGCAGGTTTTCAACAATGGTTCTGTACCAGCCTCAGCGCAAGCTACTTTCCCATACATATTTGCAGTCAGTAAATTCTTGCAGGTATCACCGTCACTTTGTACACAGCTTCTTTTAGTTTCTGAGTGAGTGAAACATAAGAGAGTACTTGTATACTTTTGATCTCATAATGCGTAATGATTTTTCTGTATGCAGCCTGGAAGTTTTGATCTTGTTGGCACTATTATCTACGAGATAGACGAGCATCCATACCAAAGCACCTTCTTTAATGGCACTATTGAAGTCGTTGAATCCGGTGGGTTTCTTAGCATCGAATCTGTTTTTCTTGTCACTCTTGGAGCTGCCCTCCTTGTCCTCCTGGGGCTATGGATTCATGGTCAAGTACAAAACCTATCTAAGGTACTATAATCTATATCTATTCAGATAATGTGCTATTACTGGACCACCTTCCCATTTTGGATTTGCTAATTTTTCACATAATGGTTTGTTTGATTTATGAAAACTTTTTCTTTTCATTTCCGTATTCTCTTTACACAACTAAACTGCCCCCATTGTTTTCAATTTGTTCCTATTTTCAAATATTTGTACAGGAAACAATGAAAACAAAAGTTGTTCTCTCAATGGTTTTGACTAAAAACATTTGAAAACAGAAAAAGATGATAGCTAATGTTTTCTGATACCAATTATAAAGGGGGCAGGGTCCCTAAATTTCTCACCTTTAATTTGGTCCTGGTTAACGTTTTCTGATACTGATAGGAAGGGGATTGGGCCTATTAGCAAAGAAGGGGAGGTAATGGTTAACAAAGAGAGTAATGAGCCTAAGGTGTGGCGTGTGTATGAGAGAAGAATTAAGAAAAGAGTCACAAAGGAAGTGTGAGGCTGACGTGGCAGTAGGTTAGGATATTAGTTTGAGCCTTAGTCCAAACCAATTAAGTAGGAGTTTACTCAGTTAGTATTCCCCATATAAATAGGAGCATATGGGGCAGTAGTTAGTTAAGTTATTATTTGCCGGTTTTCATATTAGGGTTTGGGCAGTGAGAGAATTATTTTCTCCGACCGAGGAGCAGTAGCTCTGGAACTTTCTGTTTTCATATTCATTAATAAAATAATTTCCTCCATCATACTATATCTTATCTCTGTTCTCTATCAATTGGTCCGACCTACCTTGTTCATGCAAACCAGAATGACAGAGAATTACTGCAGTTGAGGAACGCTTGGGACGTGTGGAAACCAGTATTGAGGATTTGCGTACTTCCGTTGCTGCAGAGATTCAATGTGCGATGGCGAATCGTGAATCACCTCAGCCAAGCGGTGCAACGATTACCTCGACGACGATCCGGTGGCGTGGATCACTCGTGCTGAGACATACTTTGAAGTACATCGAATTTCTCAGGATGTTCGTATTCAGTTGACAAAGTTGAGCATGGAAGGCCCTACTATCCATTGGTTTAACCTATGGCGCGATTCAATGGAGGAATTGTCATGGGAGAACCTATGTGAAGCAATGATGGCGAGATTTGGAAGAGGTCGTTTGGAGAACCCCTTCGAAGAACTCAAGGATTTGAAGCAATCTGAGATGGTGGAGGATTACATTGCCGAATTTGAATTGTGTTCCTCTCAGTGTGGAAGGTTACCAGAACAACAATTTCTGGGCTATTTTATTGGTGGTTTACGTCACGACATCCATTCTCGGGTAAGAACATTCAAGCCGCACAACCGGTATGTGGCGATGCAATTGGCATGTGATGTGGAACCTGAATTTGCTGAAAATTCAGGTCATGGATCAGGTTTGCGTTACAAACTAGGTCACGGGTCGTGGGCTCGGACTCCAAAACCTTCTCGGGCCTATCGTGAAGGTGAAGGGAAAGGACTTTCTAATTCAACCCAGAATGGTGCTGAGTTGGGGAAAACACGTACAGGCTTTGCATCTGGATCTCAGACCGGATCTCAAACTGGGTCGACCCGGTCTCAAATTTCCACAGGGAATTCGCGAGCAAGCTATGATCGTCAGAATTCTCGTGGAGTTCCTCATTCGCCAACAGCGGAGTTGAATGGCCGACGAGCAAAAGGGTCTTTGTTTTCTTTGCAATGAGCGATGGGATCCTCTCCATCAGTGTGCTTCGAAACAGTTGTGAGTTCTCATCTTGGGAGGTGATGAATTTGTCAATGATGAGGGAGAAATTGTTGGATTGGAAGCTGACTCAGAGGAAGAGAAGGAGACTGTGGAGCTTGAATGTAAGCCTCTCGGTGTGTTTGGCTTATCAACAACTCCAAAACCACGCACGATGAAACTAGAAGGGGGATTGCAAGGGGCCAACATTCTGGTCTTAATCGATAGTGGTGCGTGCGACACACAATTTCATTTCTCCTAAACTGGTTGAAGCTTTGGGTTTATCTCTGGTTCCCTCAAATCCTTTGGGTGTAAAGCTAGGTGATGGCCATCGTGTTATGACTAAGGGTAAGTGTGTTGGAATTTCCTTGGTGTTGGGTGACATGGAAACCACTTGATGCGTATATATTAGAGTTAGGGGGTGTGGACTTGATTTTGGGAGTGGTATGGCTGGAGACTCTTGGTAAGGTGACAATGGATTGGAAGGAAATGTCGATGTTGTTCACATTCCGGGGTAACCTCGTAAAGTTGGTTGGTCAACCCTTAGATGAAAAAAGTGCTACCTTCCAGACTTTGATGACCACTTCCAGAATGCTAGAGGAGGAAGGTGGGCCTACGGTGTTGGCAACAACTGAGACCTTGGACCAGAGGCTAAATAGGGATAAGCATAGGGTTCTTCAAGCATTATTGACCAAGTTCTCTGACGTGTTTTCTGAAATTAATGGTCTCCCTCCGGCTAGAATCAGAAGCCACTCTATTGTGCTGTTACATGGTGCTGGACCTGTTAGTGTGCGACCCTACATATACCCTCACCATCACAAAGACGAAATTGAAAGACAGGTCCAGAACCTGCTTCAGCAAGGGGTGACTACGGTGTTGGCAACAACTGAGACCTTGGACCAGAGGCTAAATAGGGATAAGCATAGGGTTCTTCAAGCATTATTGACCAAGTTCTCTGACGTGTTTTCTGAAATTAATGGTCTCCCTCCGGCTAGAATCAGAAGCCACTCTATTGTGCTGTTACATGGTGCTGGACCTGTTAGTGTGCGACCCTACATATACCCTCACCATCACAAAGACGAAATTGAAAGACAGGTCCAGAACCTGCTTCAGCAAGGGGTGACTAGTGCTTTCTCTAGTCCGGTTATCTTGGTTAAGAAGAAAGACAATTCTTGGCGAATGTGTATCGATTATTGCGCGTTAAATAAAGTCACAGTGCCAAGATAAGTACCCTATTCCGGTGGTAGATGAATTACTCGATGAATTACATGTAGGCTCTACATATTTTTCTAAACTGGATTTGAAATCTGTATATCACCAAATTCGGATGAAGGAGGAAGACGTTCACAAAACTGCGTTTAGAACTCATGAAGGCCACTATGAGTATTTGGTAATGCCCTTCGGTCTTACTAATGCCCCGGCTATGTTTCAATCGGTGATGAATGAAATTTTCAAACCGTATTTGAGGAAATTTGTCCTTGTTTTTTTTTATGACAATTAGTATATAGTACTAATTGGGCCACTCATTTGGAACACTTAGCTTTGGTTTTACAGATTCTTTTGCAGCATCAGTTTGTGGCCAACAAAAGCAAGTGTACCTTTGGCCAAGAAAGGATTGAATACCTAGGACATGTGATTTCCAAGGCAGGGGTTAATGTAGACCCATCTAAGGTAGACAGTGTGCTGCAATGGCCAGTTCCCAAGAATGTGAAAAGTGTTCGTGTTTTCTTTGGGTTTGACGGGTTATTATCGGAAGTTTATAGCTAACTATGGGAGAGTTGCTAAACCTTTGACCGATTTAACTAAAAAGGACGGATTCCATAGGAACGCGGCTGCGGACGAGGCTTTTCAGCATCTGAAATTTGCAGTCACTTCTGCCCTGTTTTAGCGCTGCCTAATTTCAATTTACCTTTTGAAATTGAATGTGATGCTTCCGGTAAAGGTGTTGGGGCTGTGCTGATGCAGTTAAAGCATCCTATTTCTTATTTTAGCAAAGCCTTTGCATCATCAAAACTCTCCAAATCAGCTATGATAAGGAATTGATGGCGTTAGTTCTCGCTATCCAACATTGAAGACTATTTGTTGGGTAGGAGATTCATTGTGTACTCAGATCAGAAAAGTTTGCGGCACCTCTTACAACAACATATCACTACTTCTAATCAACTAGAATGGATGGCAAAATTGTTGGGTTTTGACTTTGAGGTTATTTACAAGGTAGGGGTTGAGAATAAAGTGCTGATGCTTTATCAAGGCAACATGAAGAGGCAGAGATCAAGACATTGTTGTCTTACCCGATATGGACTCAAGGGGGTCAATTGCAACAAGAAATCATGCAAGATCCGGTTCTCAAGGGAATTGTGGAGGCCATTCAATTGGATCCTATGTCTAAGCCAGGTTTTACTATCAAAGGTGGTATCCTGTTTTACAAAACAGATTGGTAATTCCAGCTAAGTCCCCAATGGTTGATGATTTGCTCAAAGATTTCCATTCTTCTCCTAGTGGGGGACACTCTGGCTACCTCCAAACATATAGACGAATGGCAGGGACATTATATTGGCAAGGAATGATGAAACGGGTTCAAGAGTTTGTCAAAGCTTGTGATACGTGCCAAAGACAAAAGTATGCTGCTACTACTCCTAGTGGATTATTGCAGCCGTTGCATGTTCCAGTGCTGGTGTGGAGTGAAATCTCCATGGATTTCATTACTAATCTACCTAGAGTAATGGTTTTGAAGCCATTTTGGTGGTTGTTGACCGTCTTTCCAAATATAGTCATTTCGTTCCGCTTAAACACCCATTTACTGCACGTTCCATTGCTTCCATCTTTGTGAAAGAAGTCGTTAGACTGCATGGTGTTCCGGAGTCAATACTCAGTGACCGTGACCCTTTGTTTGTGAGTATTTTTTGGAAGGAGCTGTTTAAATTGTTAGGGACAGTTGAAGATGTCATCTGCTTACCATCCTCAAACCGACGGCCAAACGGAGGTGATAAATAGATGCTTAGAGTCCTACCTGCGTTGTTTCATATCAGACCAACTGAAGTCGTGCGCTCACTGGATTCCGTGGGCCGAGTTGTGGTACAACACCACGTTCCATATATCTACAGGTTTTACACCTTTCGAGGTGGTGTATGGCCGGAAGTCTCCACAATTGGTACACTTTTTGGAAGGGGAAACTAGAGTTTAAGCAGTGGCTCAAGAACTCAGAGATCGAGATGAAGCTTTGCGACAACTGAAGTTCAATTTGCAGAATGCTCAGGAACAAATGAAGATTCAAGCGGACAAGAAGAGGAAAGAAGTGAAGTTTGAGGTGGGGGGATTGGGTTTTTCTCAAACTAAGCCCCACAGGCAACAATCTGTGGTCCAACGAATCCATCAAAAGCTAGCTCCCAGATTCTTTGGTCCTTATCAAATCCTCAAGAAGGTGGGACAGGTTGCTCATAAGCTTCAGCTGCCTGCAACATCTAAAATCCACCCCACGTTTCATGTATCACAGTTGAAGAAAGCAGTTGGTAATTACACACCAACTAATGAGCTGCCTGCGAGTTTGGAAGTCGATAAAGGAGAGGTGGTTCCTGCGAAATTGCTGTCTTGGAGGGATAAGTTTGATGCTAGAGAATGGTTGGTGCAGTGGGAAGGTATGGATATTGGTGATGCGACATGGGAGGAAGAACTGATGTTGAAGAGTCAATTTCCTGACCTCTGCCTTGAGGACAAAGGCTCTTTTTGGAGGCGGGAGTGATGATAGGAAGGGGATTGGGGCAGTAGTCCAAACCAATTAAATAGGAGTTTACTCAGTTAGTATTCCCCATATAAATAGGAGTGTATGGGCAGTAGTTAGTTAAGTTACTATTTGCCGTTTTTCATATTAGGGTTTGGGCAGTGAGAGAATTGTTTTCTCCGACTGAGGAGCAGTAGCTCTGGAACTTTCTGTTTTCATATTCATTAATAAAATAATTTCCTCCATCATACCATATCTTACCTTTGTTCTATCAGATACCAATTACAAAGAGGCCCTAAACATTTGGAAACAGAAAATAGAGTGAAAACATAAAACAAAAATAGCTAGTGTTTTCTGATACCAATTACAAAAAGGACCTAAATTTGTCACCTTTAATTTGGTCCTGGTTAATGCTCCTCCAGCTTTGTGATCACTTCATGTGTTTGATTTTGCTAAATTTGCTAACTGCAACAAAGAAGTTATTGATCTGTTCTCACATGTATAATAATTGATCCAAATTTCAATTTTAATGAAAACCATTGAGTTCAATATTTTCTTGAACTTTGTGATATTCGCATGTTTGCTCGTGAATATTTGCTCAGAAATCAAAAAGAGCTCCCAAAGTTGAAGTTGGAACTAGGTCTATAGATGCTTCAACAGACGAATGGCTACAGGTATGTTCTTATGATGCTGTATTACTATCTCTATACTTGTTTGATGTTGTATCAATTTTTCCCCCGTTTAAGTATAACATAAACCAGACATCTGAAATGAAATAACTTTCTGTACCTTGTGTTGTCCCCCAGGGAACTGCATATACTCAGTCTCTTTCCAGCAAATCAAAGAAGAAGAAGTAGATGAAACGTTTTCCTCAAGTTCTTCAGCCAAACATGACTAGAGATGTAACACCATGTTAATTAGTTTGAGAGAGCGCGAGGAATTGTGGCTGAATGATGACGACCTGCCTTTTCTGTTGTAGCTTCAAAGAAATTTTACTTTTTTCCCCCTTCCAATGAGTTTGAGCTTTTTCTAAGAAAAAACTAACAGGAATGAGTTAGGAAGGATAGAACTTTTGAGAAGTGACACAATTTTTGTTACATAATGTTCATTTTACTACTTATTTTGCTTTGTTTTTGTCTAACTGAGAGAATTCAACATCGATTTCTACTGTGTTTTGTCATTCTCTTGTGTGTTTTTTACTGGGACCGGCTATAGTTAATGGAAGTTGTTTTCATGAGATTGACAAACAAAGGGGTCAAAGGGCAGAGTAAAATGACCATATGATCAAAGGGATCAAAGGCCCTATTTTGTAAGTTGGATTTCAAAATATTCAGATATCACTAGTATCTTTCAATATTATGACTAATATACAGTAAAGACAAACTGTAGCTGTTTCAATTGTAGTTTCTCACGTTCTTTAAAAATTTACAAAATCATAGTCAGTAATTAATTGGAACAAAATTTAGGTGAAGTTCTTTTGATGTTGTTTGTCATGTTTTATTATTTGAATGCCATACTTTGACAAGAGTAAAATCAACGGCTCAAACAGTAAAATGCTATAAAAGAAAAGTTTTGCATAAATGTTATTTATGAATGGATAAAATATTGGATATATAAGAGATTTTAACTATAAGATGTGTTAATTTCTCTTTTGTGATTTAGAAGCATTGATCCTATTATTATTTCCATATTTTTTATTTTTTTATTTTTTAACAAGTGATATCAATGTTCCATGAACACAAAAGTGAGGGAAAATTCTTAAAACACTATATATCCAAAAAAAAAAAATCCTATGTAATTTTCAAAAAACTTTTTAGTTTTCGGAGATGTATCTTCGGACGCACCTCTTTTTTGAACATTAGTTTGTTTATCTCTGTAAATGTATTGGAGGTGCATTTTCAAAATTTATACAGATAGTATCATAACTTATTTTTCAACGATTCTCACATCAAGACTACCAAATATAAAATAAAAGTCAATACTACAAAAAGTATCAAGAGTATTAAGAGTTACACCTTCGCACTCACCCCGCGTTCCTGCATTGCCTTATGTACTGTAGAGACTCCATAGTCTCCGTCATAATGGCATCTTTAACACCTCTTGCCTGCCAACAGGAAAGAATCTTCCATCAATATCCGCCTGTCCAATCTCCACAATACGACAACACTTAGATAACACATCATGAGTATGATCAGTCCTAGCCTGCTCCTCCTCTAGAATCTTCTGATGAGCTGGCTTATGTGGGTTTTCTGGAGTATCTTGTACCAAATATGAATGTGACACTTGGAAGAACCACCAGATGTAACCGTCTATGTAGCTCCAATCGTTCGGTGCTATGGTACTCTGTGCCTCATCTTGTATCAGATAATTAACATAATCATCAAATATGACATCCATATCTCTGCATTTCACCAGGGGAGGAGCAAACACAAGATGATCTCTGGGAATGTATTGCATGTAGCAGAATTGACGCATGACACGCTTAAGCAGATGAGGAACCATTAGGCGCGATTCGTAAGCCAATCATCTTAAGTATAAGACAATGTCATTAAATGGAATCGTCACACGCTGATCGACATATGTATAAAAGTGTATATCCTTAAAGACCAAGCGATCAATATACACACTGAACGAATCTGTCGCCTGATTCCTTCTGAGCGGGTCAAATGCTGAAGCACGCGACTTATCCTCAATATAAGTCGGCTCAAGTGACTAATCAGAGACGCGTGGAAAGTGTTGTAGGATCCAGGCCTAAAAAACAAGAATAATTAGTTAGTAACGATGTTGCAATAATTAACAAAATAACACACAATCAATAGAAGACCAAAAAATATTATCGTCAAAAGTGTGATACTGTCGATCACCTGCTTCGTCTTCCACATACAATCTTCAGATAATTTAAAGTACAAGTAGACCAAACAAGCGGTCCCTAGTTGTACTCATGGATCCAGAAGACCAAAAAATATTATCGTCAAAAGTGTGATACTGCCAATCACCTGCTTCGTCTTCCACATACAATCTTTAGATAATTTAGAGTACAAGTAGATCAAACAAGCGGCCCCCAGTTGTACTCATGGATCCACTCAAAGTCCTCAAAGTACCGCAGGTATATGACATCCACATAAGTGACACTCTTGTCCATAAAAATGGCAGTGCCAACCAAATACAACAGGTATGCTGTCATAACAACGCTCTATGCTGCCCTACATGTTCCGCATCACCATCATCTTGTCGTGCTTTCACTATCTCTTTTTCAAACACATCCTACAAATAGCTAAACCTAGCATGAGCCTCATCGGTCTTGTCAAGCTCATTCATGGAACTCTCTGGGGTAACTCCTAAGTATTCTACTATTAACTCTAATACCTCTTCTTTGTCATACCTCCCTTGATCTAAAAACCTCTCCCTATCGGAAGATGCAATAGACATGCGACATTGTTCAGTGTGATAGACATCTCACCACGTGGTAGATGGAAGGATGACATCTCCACATGCCATATATCTACAAAAGCATTAATCATACCATGATTAACTGAAGCATAACCAGCCTGACTCAAATCTTTCAACCCTGATAGCTGCAACACATCCTAAAACCACCGCTCATTGGGCTCTTCCAGTCGACTGATATTCCGCATATGATTGATGATTTTTAGCGGACCACATTCCTACATACATGGTTTAACAAGAATGATTCAAACAAGCACATACACATTTTTAAATGAATAGTTCCAACCAATTTTCACCTCTCTGTCCCAGATATGTGGCAACATGGTCCGGGTAAAGAGGAAGTAGTGATAAGTCGGATGACCCTCCTTTAAAACTCTGACGTGCCACAGCTGCGACCTCATCTGTCTGGGCTTGGGATTGGGATGCCTCTCCTGCCTCAGGTGCCGCCTGGGATTGGGATTGAGGTATCTCATGTGTGACTTGGGATTTTTATTCCTCTCCTGCCTCAGGTACCTACATAGGTGAACTCACACGTCTACATGAATATAGAGGCGGGGAGGCATGAGTAGGAGAACCTCGCCTGTTGCGGGAGGATGAAGAAAAAGGCGGAGATACATGAACCCCAAAACCCGACGCCACCTCCGCAATAACTTGTCCAGAGGTAGAAGCAGCCTGGGATGCTTATCTCTTTTCCCTCCGAACTGAAACATGCTGTGTAACCCTGGCGTATCTCAACCTGGATTGACTGTCAGCCATAACTCCTGTAAAAGGACAAAACAAACGTTACACAATGACTCTTGTTCAAATAAAGGGAAAAAAATGAAGCGAGACTTATTTAGAAGATGCATATCTAGTTTTTATGTAAATGTAAAAAATTTCAGAGATATATCTCCGGAAATTTTTGCAACCTCATTCACCGTCAATGGCAAATTACAGGGTCTGAGGACCTCAAAAAATGTCATTGATCGTCAGAACAACCTAATAAAAAGTTCTACCGTATTTCTAAGCTAACAAACACTTAAAATCTTTTAATCTTCTAAGCTTGATTGTTGTTTGATGAAGATTGATGAAGTTTCATACAATGGGATTTGGGAGTGTTCTAAGAAAATGGATTTTGAAATGAGTATCTGAAAGTGAGGAAGGGGAAGAGATGAAGACGCATATTTGAGACAATATTGTTTTAAGATACATCTATGTAAGGATGTTGGAGATATATCTTCGGAATAATTTTGCATGACATTTGGTCTTATAGCAACACATGCACTGAAATTGGGGTGCCATTGGAGATGCTACTACGAAACCTTTACGTAAACGCATCTCCGAATAGTCCTTTCCACTGATTTAGGGTATTGTTCAACAATGTGTATACTTTTGGTGTGTCCGGAGATGCATTTTTGAAACCTGAGGGCATAACCGTATTTTCGCACAGTGCGCTAGAAAAGCCCGAGGTGCATTTAAAAAAATTCCCAAAATAAGAGACATCACATCTCCACTTAAATCATTAAATCATTAGGTATATGAATCATTTCTCTTATAAATCTATTTTTTTGCCTATTCATAAGTGATATCGAACTTAACAACACACTTGAATCGAACAATCTTTTATATGTGAGGTTCCACGTCCTACAACATAATCCAACACTCACCAATTTGAACATGAGATTCCACCTCCTACAAACATAATCCAACACTCACCAAGTTAAACTAGAGAACTGATACTATTTATTGGAGAGTTCGAAAAAGATGGAAGCAATGTGAATGCTTCAGAACCACAAGAGATGAAGACATCACATCTTTATAAAAAAACTTTAAGATATTAGGTATATGTGTAATTTCGCTTACGATTTCAATCTAACATGGTATTATATTTCTAGATCACGATCTAGGGTTTGACCATGACTTAACCAACGCCACCAGTGGATTTTCCATTGTCTTTCGTCGCATTTCCACTATTATAGTACAAGCGCTGTCGAATTTCATAGAGCATTCAAATCATCTTTAATTTTGCTCGAGATCGCACATAAACTAGATGAGAAAAACTTCTATCTATGGCATCGACAGGTCGAACCTTACATCAATACTCGTAACCTCACTAAATTTGTGGTAAGCACTCGAATTTTGCCTCAGTTTGTGACTGATGAATCTCACACCTCATATACTATTAATCATAAGTATTCTTACCGGCTTCAGAAAGATCATATGTTCATTTCTTAGCTACAATCAACACTTTCCAATGAAATTCTTACGTGTTTTTGGTTGTACTCATGCACATAAACTATGAGGTCACTTGTTCAACTACTTCCAAAAGAAAACGTGTGCCAGAGCTAGGAAACTTCGTGTTAAGTTCATGCCCTAACTTTGGATAATTCCATAGTACACGAGTATCTGCTCAAAGTTCGTACCATTGTGA